CAGATTTGTTGTGATCATTCAATCAGGTAGGTGATGCCCGTAAAACACTTAGAATCGTGCCTGGAGCATAGTAAACACTAAATAAAAGTCGGCTGTTATTAGTTAATCCTCCCAATAGGCCCTAGAGATATGTAGACATACCCCATTTTATGAGCTGCAGATGAGGCTCAGAAGCATGGAGTGACCTGTCTGAGGTCACAGTGGGGATGTGGGGGTGGGGAGGCAGGGCGCAGACCAGGTCTGTTTGACCCCAAAGGCCTGTCCATGCAGCTCCCCTTCATGACACGGACGCTTTTCCTGGACTCACAGGTGGGAGCTGTCAGTTCTGCTGCAGGTGGCCACGCACCGGGGTGTTGAAAAAGATCCCTTTTCTTGTCTGATGACCTGAGAGCCAAATGGGATGGGGTAGCCGAGAAGGCGCTTTGTGCCCTGCCGGGGTCGGAGGGTATTCTAGAGGATCCTAGCGTTGATACTTGAGCAAAGCAATCGGCATTGTTTTCTATCACCTGTTTGCCCTGTCCTGGTAACAGCACCCTGACTTCCCGTGGAACTACCCTTCCCTGCCCAGTTCGTGCTTGGGGTCAGCCCTGGCTGGAGGACCGGGCGTGGGAGCATTTCCCCCGTGAGCACCGTGTCCCTCCAGCTTCAAGGATTAGCTCAGAAACAGGCATGTGGTCTAATCAGCTGAGCACTGCCAGGCTCGGCCGCAGGACTTGGATCCGGAAAGAGACAGCTGAGAGGGGGTCATCTCGTCTGGAGCTCCAGAAGCCACCACGGTGGGGACAGCCCCACGGCAAGCAGAGTTGAGAGATGGAGAGTGTGAGGTAAAGCCCAGTGTCCCCAGAATTTACTGGCTCTGAGTCAGTCTAGATCTGCCTGGACTTTTCTGTTCTGCTCCCTTTTGTAAGTGTCTACCAGCTTTCTCAGTATTGTCATGTCCTCCTAATGTCCCAACAGCTGCTCAAAGGAGGGGCAGCAGCCCCATATGACAGGGGGAACAGGCTCTAGGGATGCAGTGATTTGGCCAAGGCACAGAGGTGACCCAGGTCCTTTCTGCTGAGGGCTCAGCCACTCTGCTAAGAAGCCTGTCACCGTGTCTGAATAAAACTCCGGGCTCCTCTCTCCCCCTGCCCGTGGGCAGGGATGCATTTGATTTCCTCTAGGAGATGTCCCACGGGAGGGGATTTGGATGTCCGGGAAAGGCAGCTTCCTTGGCTCCTTCCCTCTCATCCCTCAATTGTCCTCCCGACAGCCAGTTTGAACCAAATTGGATTTCGTGCATTTCACAATTTTTGTTGAACAAATTTGTGGATTAAGGGAACAAATGAAATCCATATTTTTATTTGACATCATCAAAACTATGACATGCAGACTGAAAACGGACCTTCCTGGTCTTCGAATAATTTCAATGGATCCCAAATCTCTGCTTCTCAGGGGCATTTTCTTAAAAACCCTGATTCTCGTAAGAGCTTTGGGCAGCCCGGTCCCTCTTACCTGAGACCTGGTGGAGGTTGGTCCGAAGCACCCATGCCTGAGACCGGATCATTACGAAGGCCCTTCTCTGCACCCACCCATCATTCACCTCTCTTCCAGTCTCCCCACAATGTCCCCTGACCGTAGCTTAGTTGAAGTTTCCATGTTAGCTCCAACTCAAGGGCCCCGTCGCTGCTCTGAACTCGTAGGTAAGGCCATGAATTTGGGGCTCATCTGGCAATTGGTTAGATGCCTTTGGCACTTTGCCCAGTGGCTTTTAAAACAATGCGGGTATTTCGTTTCCCCCGTTGTTTCTTGGCTTCACGGTAGAAAGACAAGCTGTACGTGGGCAGAGGCTTCTGCTTCTCCGTATGTACCTGACAGAGTTGCATGCAGCGAATAGTTACTGTCTTATAAACTTAATTGGCAGAGGATTACTTAACAAGACAACGAGAACTTTTGAAGAGAGAGGAGCCATTCTCTGGGCTGGGCTCTGTGGAGGGGGGCCGTAATGCCCGCTGGTTTCATGAGATACCAAACAGCCTGGGTTTGGATCCTGGCTCCCCGTGTACTGATTGTATGATCTTAACAATGACGCGATCTCTCCATCCCTCGGTTCCCCTCCATACACTGGAAGTGACCACAGCCCTTGACCAAGCCCCGGAAACAGGAGCACAGGACGCATCCTCTAAATGTCAGCTGTCGCAATGTCATGCCGTTCCCCCCTAATGATTCTTACATTCTTAAGAAATCTACCTGGCTCATACAGAGGTGGACTTTCTCAAATCCAATTTTTGTCTAGATTACCACTTTCTTATTTTGAAAACATGCATCATCTGAATGATTATGTTCTTTGCCCCACATTCTATGAGTTGAAGGAGCGGAAAAGAAGCCAACCCCCAATGATAAAACAAAACAAAACGCAGAATGAATCAGTGTTAACAACAGAGCCTGAGGGAGCATTGGGAAGGCTGCCAAATAGATCTATTAATTAGAAGAGAGATAGGGGAGAGAAACATCAATTAAAATTAATTAAAAGTTTTTGTGATGCTGACCTCATGCTCCAGGTGCTTCAAGCATTAGATAATGAATAGTCACGACAGCTCACCAACTGGCCCCTTGCCCCTTAACAAGGCCAGGCCTGACTCTCCCATCTGGCCCTCGACGGGTCCATGGGTCAGGACCAGAATCATGGCTCAGGTTCCTCTCCTCCGAAAAGAGAGCAAGTCCTGAGGCCTGGAGCACTGCAGACCCCTCTCCGCAGGCTCACCGTCAGCACCGTCAGCATCCCCGGTTCTGCACGCCTGCCCTGCTCCCGGCCTCCCTGCGCCCCGGGAAGGCCGCAGTGCCTTGCCACGTGCTCTCCTCGGGTCCACTCTTACACTTGTCCTTCTCCGACATGGCCTTGTCTGCCCTTTTTTTTTTTTTTTTTGCATCTATCTTCAGATAGAGCGGGAGGGAGAGAGGGAGGAAGAAAGAGAGAGAAACATCGATGTGAGAGAGACACATTGACTGGTTGCCACCCACACGACCCCAACCGGGGCCAGGGACAAACTGCAACCGAGATACATGCCCTGAGCGGGAACCGAACCCGGGTCTCTCTGGTCCGCGGGCCGACGCTCTAGCCGCTGAGCCAAACCGGCCAGGACCCTGCTTGTTTCTTGTTTCCCCACCAGCCTATAAACTTCTCATTCAGCAGTTGCTGCACACGCGTGGCCCAGTCAGTCTCTCTCGATGGAAAGGAAGGAGCCGGAGATGCCCTTCTGGAGCAAGAGATATTTCTCTCTCGAAAGGAAATCCACTCTGTCCATATGAAGGTGGGCCCCCTAGTAGGTCAACGGGCGGCATTTTGCTAACGTCGTTCAAATGCAAACAGACTTCACCCTATGAAAGGCAGCCACACTCTTCTTCGGGAGCGTGTCGCTGAGATTTTTCACGCCTGGAACCGAAGGTGGGGAGGGAACCCCCCGCGTCAGGCGGATCCGGTGGTCAAGCCTGGCCCACTCATTCTCAGCAGCCGTGTTCAGCCTGAGAAAGTTGGTCTCCCACGATGCTACTGCTGGAGCAGGAAGGGATGGGCACAGGCCAAGGGGAGCGGAGGCCAGAGAGAGGCCCAGTGGGGGGCAAGGTGGGATGCCAGAGGGCAGCTCCCGGCTCCTTGCAGTGAGGGCTCCTGGACCACCTCCTCGGGGGGCCCTGGACTCTCAACGACTATCCGGTTCGTCTCCACCGCCCCAGGTCATGGTGTGCTCCCGATTTCCGCGACATTCGGGCTCCCTTGCTGCGCCGCAATAAACCCTCGTGGCCCGAGCACCGGAGTGGCTGGCTGCGCTTATGCGCGCTCAAAGCAATGAAACAAGAGTAACCAGCATGTATGGTCCGGGGCCCACGCCAGCACGGCTGCCCGACGAGGCCGTGTGTGGGGGCACCAGGTGGTGTCCGAGAGCTCTGGGCACTCACTCCTGGCTCGAAGCTCTGCTCGGATCCGCTGGGGTAGTTCCGTTCTTTATGGCTCTAGGCTTTTGTTTCTTTTAATGTAGCCTCTGGTTTTTATATATCTTTTATAAATATATCTAAGTGCTCCGGCCAGTGTGGCTCAGTTGGTTGAACATCATTCTGTGCACCCAAAGGTTGCCAGTTCGAACCTTGGTTGGGCACATGCCTGGGTTTCGGGCTCGATCCCCCGTAGGGAGAGTGCAGAAGACAGCTGATCCATGTTCTGCTCTCACATTGATGTTTCCCCTCTCTCCCTTCTGCTCTCTCTAAGTAAAAAAAAAAAAATCTATAGCTGTATTTTATACGTAATACAAAACATATACATACATGTAATATAATTTAAAAATATAATATAAACACGTATATACTATCGGGTACCTACTCTATGCCAGACACACTCTGTCTATATACATTGGATCCTCTCTGTAACCCTGATTCTTCGTTTGTTTCCCTGATTCTTATGAGTGAGGCAGTTTGTCTGCGATGTTAAGGAGTTTGGCAGGACGTGTCAGGTAAGTGGGGGAAGGCTCCTGACCCCGCGTCTGGCTCGGACCCCACAGGCCTGCATGTGGGAGGACATCTCACAGAGGCCTCCTGGTACGTGTCAGTGGTGAGGAACCAGCAGCGGCACCAACAACATTTTTTTTTTTAATCATCTCCCGAGGACATTTTTGCATTTATCTTCAGATAGAGCGGGAGGGAGAGAGGGAGGAAGAGAGAGAGAGAAACATCGATGTGAGAGAGACACATCGACTGGTTGCCACCCACATGATCCCAACCGGGGCTGGGGACAAACTGCAACCGAGGTACGTGCCCTTAGCGGGAACCAAACCCGGGTCTCTCTGGACTGTGGGCTGACGCTCTAACCACTGGACAACACCGGCCAGGGCCCAACAACAGTCTTAATGTCCCAACTGTTTTATTATTTTGCCTTGAACTTCAAGTGTCACAGCTTAGCCCTACTGAGAAGAGCCCCTGGCAAGCCCTCCCCCATCTCTCTGGCCTCTTCCCCAGGTCCCAGCCCTGGCCCCTCACAAGTGATTTTTGAAGGTGGAGCAGTGTTCCTTGGGGTGCCCCTCTCCCAGAAAGACATCTAGCCACTCTTCCAGGTTCCGTACCAGCTGCTCCAGCTCATGCACCTGTTTCTCCAGCTTTTCCAAGAAAACTTGCAAGTTCTCCTTCAGCCAAGTCTTGACGACCTTCATTGGCAATTTTGAGGGATCAGTGGTCTGGTATTCAAACCCCTGAAAGGGCAGACACCAAAGTTACATCTTGAGCTTTGCCACGTAGGACCCCTTTGCCACTGGTTTCAAACGTTCCCTGAGCCTCTGCACATGCGACTCCTTCTGCTTGGAATACCCTTCCCCACTGTCTCCAGCTCCTGCTTATCCTTCAAGACCCAGCTCGCCAGCGACACCTCTAGGAAGCCTTCCCAGATTTCCTCAGCCAAGCTGGACATCCCTTCAGTACCTTCCTGGATATGTTACCTGAGAAGCCACAGGATGCTGGGGGTAGTTACATTCTCTGATCCTTTCTGCCGCCTCCCAGCTTCTTTCTGAAACAGGCACAGACGCACCTCTAAATGAGGCAAAGCGTGGTTGGTCCGCTCAGTGGGATGAAGGGTGGTGGGAGAAGGCAGGTACCGAGACACCCTTGGCAGGCAACCGTCTCCAGAATGCCCCTCTCGGCTTTGTGTGGACGGGGCTTCTCCCTCCTCAGGTTCCAGAAAGCTCACCTGATATCCCTGTGCCCATATACAGCACCAAGACCAGCAGCGCCAGCAGCGTCTGGGGGGCAAGAAGAGGAGGGGGAGGTAAATTGCTGGAGGACACATGGGAACCTGCTTCCCTCGGACAGCTGGGCATGGGGCGGCGATAAGACCCTTTTCAGAGCTTAACTTCTTTCTCGGTATCTAAGTCACCTGCTTACTACGGAACCCCCAAACATCGCAGGAATAGATAACATGGCAACAAACTGGCATTTCCCTGGTCCTCTCCCTGTCGAGAACGGGGCCCTTCTCCATTCTCATTGCTTGTCTCATGGTCACATCTTTTGTTTTTGAGGATCTTTAGAAGGAATCAGCTTGACCCTGGTATGACTTACGCACCATAAAATGCACACATTTTAAATGTATAGATGGGTGAGTTTTGACGAATGTTTATACCTAGGGACTCCCACCCCCATCAAGATATAAAACAGTTCCATCGTTCTAGAAAGTTCCCTCATGCCTTGTTGCAGTCACCTTCCTCTTTGCAGCGACAGAGTCAGGGGCACAGAAGTGGCCAGAGGATTAAGGAGACGCAGTATTGACTGCCACTGAACTTCCCCCAAACGCCCTGGATGCGGACGGAGCCAGATTGACTTTGACTTGAAATCTTACATCTCTGATGTCCCCATTCGTGAAGCAAGACTTAGCTCCGCTACCACAACAAAGAAGAGACGAGATGGGCATCATTTGTCCCTCCCCCGGGTCGTGTTCTTTGTATAGACCAGCAGCTAGATTCTTCTTATTAACTTCAAAAATAAAAGTAAATGATATTGCTTCCAACGTGGCTGAGTCTCGCAGACACACTGATGAGTGAAAGAAGCCAGACACGAAGGTGCACACTGATTTCATTGCCATGAAATTCTAGAACACACACAACTCATCTGTGATGATGGAACTCAGAGTCGTGGTTATGGGTGGGGCGTGAGCTGCGAGGGGGCCTGAGGAGCCATCTGGGGTACCAGAAGGTTCTGCAGCTTGAGCCGGGCGGTGGCTGCCTGGTGCATACGCCCAGTGTGAAAGTCATTGCACCATCCACTTAAGATCGGGGTGGCTTTTCTTTTCTCCACGGTATCCCCTGGGAATCTTTCCATGTAAGACACACAGAGCCATCCCACTCTCTATAACGGCCGGTGCATGGTCTGAACGCTCCTATGTCTTTGACCACTCCTCGGGCCACGTGCTTTACACGTGGCTTGGTTCCCAGCAGCATGCTCGCTGCTCAGTTTCTAGTTTATGTTCTATGGAGGCAAAGGCAGGGAATGGGGACAGATTCAGTTTTCGTCTTTCTTTTCATGCTGTTTTGGGCCTGAGCCAGATCATTTCTTCTCCCCGAGCCTCAGTTTCTTTATCTGCAGAATGGGTTTTGGAATAGACCTCTTTCAACAAGGAGGGGTGGGGCTCTGATTGGGGAAATGCCGTGGTAAACAACATTGCCTTGCCGTAGGACTTCTCAGAGCCTTGAGTATTTGACTGAGCAGTGTGTATCTCCAAGAAGGGACGAGAGGGCATCCGCGTTCCCCAAACCACAGCGCTCTTTTAATGATTTTTCTAAAAGGAGCATCCTGGGGGTTGGTATTTGTGGAGCACGTTCAGGAAAAGCCACAGCGTGGTGCAAACGCCCACCCCCATCCTGCGGTGAGGCCCGGCCTGAAGGAGCTTTGGCGCATGCATGTTAAGTGAGCAGGTGAATGAGTCTTTTGAAAACATAGATCAGTCGTCATTGCTCTGTTTAAAACCTCTCAATGGTTTCTTACTCGGCTCAGAATGAAATCCCATCCCTTCCACGGTGGGTGAGGCCCAGCTGACCTCCCGGCCTCCTTACATCCCTCCTTCCGTTCCCACCCGCGAGGCGGCGGGTGCGGGCAGCCTTGCTGGCGGTTCTGGAATCAGCTGGACTTGGTTTCGAAGCCCAGCATGTGCTGACTGTGAGCCTTTTTGCCTTTCTGAGCCTCAGTTTACTCATCTGTGAGTGAGGGCCACAGAGCCGCCGCTCAGAAACGTCGTAAAACATCAGGAGAGAGAGAGAGAGAGAGAGAGAGAGGCGGTGGAAACCCGGGCTGTGGACAGGACGCGTTCTCATCTTCCATTTGCTGTGAATCCCACGTGAGATTGGAATTTCGGTCCAAAGAACAAATGCTCCTCGAGCTCTCTAATGCGGGAGCATTATCCCATTTATTCCCCTCCCTCCTCCCCTCCTCCCTCCCTCCCTCCCCTCCTCCCTCCCTCCCTCCCTCCCTTCCTTCCTCCCATACGAATGCACCGTTCTAGGCACTAAGGACAGAGCAGGCCACGAGACGACCCAGCCCTCTGGGCACACCGTCGGCAGCGCTGGGATTAGACAAGGGTCGGAAACCCCCGGGGGAAGCACCTGAGCCCTGTGCTGTGTTCCACCGGCCAGGCTCCAGGGAGAGTCGAGCTGACAGCCTGCTCCTGACTTTGAGGGCCTGACTGTCTGGGAGCCCTGGTCTGGCCTCACCTGCTTCTTGTCCTCACAGCAAGTCCCCCTTCTCCGTCCAGACAGCTCTGTGGCCACTCGCCCTCTGCTGTCCACCTCTTGGGTCACCATGGCCTCAGATCAGGCTGCCTGCGCGGAACAAGGTGCCCCCACCTGGCAGCAGATGGGCCCCCCCTCTGGTCACCAGGGTCCCTCCAGCAATGAGTTCTGATGTCACAGAAGGTGGGGGACCGCAAAGCCCCCGCCTTGTCACCACCCTGGTTTTAAGCCCTGTCCCTCACATTTAAAAAAATATAAATGTAAAAACAAAACAAACAAAAAACCAGGAAGAAATGCATCAGAAGATTATATTTCAGGGTGACGATTTTTCTGATCTTTTTCCTATATTTTCAGGTTTTTAATAACATGCGAGTTTTTAAACACAAAACAATAAGAGCTAATTTTAATTGAAACGTGTATGGATACAATTGTAGATTCATGTCAGTAGCAAGAAAACAAAAAACTATAGGCGATCAGGTGGATCCTTCAGTCACTTTCCTACAAGGGTCGCATCTCTGTAGGACTACAGTGTCACAGTCAGGACACCGCCGCTGCTACAGTCTGTCGGTCTTGTTTAGATCGGGTGTGCTTGTCCTTATTTGTGTGTGTGTATATTTAATTCCAAATAATTTTGTCAGATAGGTACGTCTGTGTATTCACCACTATGGTCAAGATACAGAATTCCAAAACCAGAGGGTGCTTGTGTTACTCTTTGATGCCTGCCACCTGTCTCTGTCTCCCTCCCTCTTTGTACCTAACTCCTGGCAACCATGAATCTGTTCTCCATTTCTAAAATTTCATCTTTTCAAAAATGTTATATCAATGGAATCAAATAGTATGTGATCTTTGGAGATTGGCTTTTTTTTTTTTTTTTTGTACTTAGAATTCACTGGAGATCCATCCAGATCGATGCCTGCATCAGGAGTTTGTTCCTCTTCATTGCTGCATAGTACTCCATGGCATGTATGTACCACAGTCTGTATGACCATTCACCCACAGAAGGACATCTGGCTGTTTCCAGTTTTAGGTTCTTATGAATTAAGCTACTATGGACATTCTTATACAGGATTTTGTGTGAACCTCAGTTTTCATTTCTCTGGAATGCCCAAGAGGGCAACTGCTGGGTTGTAAGGTCATTGCACGATGGTTTGGTAAGAAATTGTCAAACTGTTTTCCAGAGGGGCTGCACCATTTTACATTCCCATCAGCTGCATGAGTGATTTGGTTTCTTCTCATCCTCAACAGCACTTGGTGTTTTTATTATTTTTTATTTTAGACATGTTGATAGGTGTGTAATGATGTCTCGTTGTGGTTTTAATTTGCATTTCCCTGATAGCTAGTGATGTTCAACATCTTTTTATGTGCTTATTTGCCATCTGTGTCTCCGTTTCCGTGAACTGTCTGTTTATATCTCCTGCCCATTTTCTATTTGGACTATTTTATTATAGTTGAGTTTTGTAAGTCCTTTCTATATCCTTTTTGGGATATATGCTTTGTAAATATTTCCTTTCTGTCTGTAGCTTGTCTCTTCATCCCCTTCACGTGGACTTTTACAAAGAAAAGCTTTCATTTTGATGAGATCCCATTTATCAATCTTTGTGTGTGTGTGTGTGTGTGTGTGTGTGTGTGTGTGTGTGTGTGAAGTCAAGTCTAAGAACTTTGTGCCTAGCCCTAGAACCAGAAGATTTTTCTCCTATTTTAAAAACAGTTTATAGTTTTATGTTTTATAGTCCAGTCCACGATCTGTTAGGAGTTAATTTTTTTTTTTTTATCCTCACCCGAGGACATTTTTCCATTTTTTGTACAGAGTGGGAGGGAGAGAGAGGAAGAGAGAGAGAGGGAAACATCGATGTGAAAGGGACACATCGAGTGGCTGCCACCCACACGACCAACCAGGGCCGGGGACAAACTGCAACCGAGGTACATGCCCTTAGCGGGAACCGAACCCGGGCCTCTCCGGACCGCAGGCCGACGCTCTAACCGCTGAGCCAAACCGGCCAGGGTAGGAGTTAATTTTTGTGTAAGGTGTGGGGTTTGGGTCAAGGGTCATTTTTTTTTTGCCTGCAGAGGTCAGTTGCTCCTGCACCATTTGTTGAAACCGTGACCTTTCCTCCTTTGAATTGCTTTTGCACCTGTGTCAGATTGAGCACATTTGTGTGGATTTGTCCAGTGGATCCTGAGCTCTGTTCATTGATCTATGTATTGATCCCTGCACCAATAGTGCTCTATCTTGATAGTGAGCAGAGTGATTTCTCCCACTTTGTTCTCCTTGGCCAAGATTGTTTCAGCACTTCTAGGGCCCCTTCCTTTCTCTATTTCTTTCCAAACTTTAGAATAAGGTGTCTGGCCTGTGTCTACCAAAAATAAACCTTGCTGGCTGGGATTCGATAGGAGTTGCATTAAACCTATGGATCACTTTGGGGAGAAGTGACATCTCTACCACGCATATGCTCCGCTGCACGGACACACGGTGCCTCTCCATCTGTGTAGGTCCTCGGTGTTTGCTTTAATCAGCATGTTGTATTTTCAGCATCCAGCTCCTACATGTTTTGCTAAGTGTGTATGAGATATTTCATTTCCTTGAGACTTCCCTCATGGTTTAGAAGCCCCATCTTTTCATTTATTAACAAACAATTTTCATGGGTTAAGAAATCAATAATTTTTATGAGTTAACCTTCTCAGAGTTACGTAGCTGCTGATTACTTTTATTTATTGAGCATCTACTAGGGTAGGCATTTCACTAGGTTATTGAGTACATCTTCTCTAGGCTGTAATTGTCTAAGTATTTGGGACTGGAGTTTGTGCTACTATCTATTGTGTTTCTAACACCCATTAGACAGCCTGTTACAGACTAAATGTTCAGGAAAAATATTTGTTGCATGGATGAAGAATAAGCAATTTCAAACCGTGGGTTCTGAGAGGCCATGAACTCTGCCTGGTGAATACACTTCTGTATTCGTGGTCCTTGGCTCGGGAGCGATTTGTCAAATGAGCAAAGCAGGTGTATGATTTTAATTCCACCAGTGAAGAAGCGGAGGCAAAAGAAGGACAGCAGCCGTCGTGGTGGTCACGTGCGGAACCAGACCCCACGGAGAATGCTTCCCATACACTGTCTCACCGAACCCCACACGTGCCCTGCGAGTCGGCGCGGTGGACCGTTCTGTCTGGATGTTCCTCTCTGTACTCAAGGTCAGACGCCCTCCCAGGGATCTGAGGACAGGTTCACTGAACTCCGAAGTCTTTTAGTTTACTCCAAGGAGTTAATGTACTTTCAGTCCAAAGCAAAAAAAGTTGCCATTCCTATTGTCTTTTGTGGCTTTATCATGGGTAAGTAGATGTGAGATTCCCATTCCTTTTTTGAAATATCAAAAGTAGCCATATCCCCCCCTCTCCCCGACTTCATGGCTACCCCATCTGGGCACCCAGCGATTTCATACAACCTCCACTTGTCCACCTCCCCTGCGTATCCTTAACATTCATCATCCCCAGCTGAGATACTTCGAGGAACGGTCGAGCGCCTGGCACTACGCGAGGTGCTTTAGATGTATTGGCTGGTTGGATTATTACAGGTCTAGGTGGTACATAATATGAGTGTCCCCATTTTACAGGTGAGGAGACTGCAGCTCATTCAGGTGGTGAAGTCACTTCCCCAGAGTCACGCGAGAGGCAGGGCTGAGCTCTGTACTCTGCGGGGTCTGATCTCAGCAGGCAGGCCTCGCTGGCCACGAGAGATTCGCCCTCTCCATGGGAAAACCCAAGGCCAGAGAAAGACAGGGACCAGCCCAAGTCCACTGGAGGAAAAGCTCACCTCTTGCTCCCACCTGGGGGCTCTCCAAACGGCCCCCATGGTCTTGCCCATGCTACTGGGCTTTACATGGTACTCCAGGCCTGCCCATTAAACTAACTATGGGCATCGAAAGTAATGCGTTACCGCCCTGGCCGGTTTGGCTCAGCGGTTAGAGCGTCTGCCTTCGGTCCGGAGAGACCAGGGTTCGGTTCCCGCTAAGGGCATGTACTTCGGTTGCAGTTTGTCCCCGGCCCTGGTTGGTCGTGCGGGTGGCAGCCACTCGATGTGTCCCTTCACATCGATGTTTCTCTTTCTCTCCTTCTCTCTCTACCTCTCACTCTATCTGTACAAAAAAATGGAAAAATGTCCTCGGGTGAGGATAAAAAAAAAAAAAAAGAAAGTAATGCGTTACCGTCATGAAAGGGGCGATGACCAGAAACATTTTTGGAGAAACCCAATGGGTTCTTCTAGGAAACGGCTCTGAAGAGCAGTGATGAGTAGGGGGGCTTCTGGGATTGGCTCTGAGGGCCACTTTCTGGGGACTCAGCCTCAGGACAGGGAAGACGGGAAGGGTGGCCTGCCTGGCCCTTACAACGCATACCCAGAAGCTGGTGTGGGCGGCGGGCGGGGGGAGGGTCTGCAATGGGCTGGTTGTCCCCCAACCTGCTACCGGCGCCCCGCTTCCAGTCTGATGGGAGAAAGACTTGCATTTGTAACAAGGATGGCAAACTCAGGTGCAGAGCGGGCCTGGACGGTGCATACAATGAGGGGAGCAGGCTGGTGTAGGACGAAAGGGCCCGGGAGCGACCGGGACGGATCACAGCGTGCACGTCCACGAGGGCCAGCCGCGTGTTGCCATGAGCACATGGGGTCCAGTGTGGGGAAACCTTCCGACTGCTTTCCAAGAAAAGCCAGGAATCCAGCCTTTTACGTGCAATCTCCTGACTTGTAAATGTTGGCAACCAATTCAAGTTCAGGAAAAAAGACACCATGTGGGCAAAATGCAGGCCACTGGCTTTTGAACGCTGATCCACTGTGTGTCTGTTGGGTCCAAATATGGCTTGTCCCGAATCCTCCTAACAGTCCTGCTACGTGGTGGTTTCACCTATGATGGCAAACATCAGAAGCCCCTACGACTAACCAAAATCCAAAAAAGCAAAATTTGGAGGGGTGTCCAGAGGGAGCCCCTGGAATTGATGGAGAGACGGAAGATGCAGGGAGAGAAGCAGGTGCTGGAACTACAGACCAGGGCATCTCATAGGAACACTCTGCGCCCAGAACGGTG